CTTCTGGTTCTCCATTACTCCACAACCTTCTAGAACTACTTGAAGGTTGATTGTAGCTGTATCGTCCCATTCCTATGTTCGAATATGGACACAGATCTGCAATAAAGTCAAAGGGAAATGTTGAAACTCAGATTATAAACCCGATATGAAGACCAGATGAAGATCCAGTGACAGAAAAATATGAACACAGCAAAATAATAAATTAGACGAATGGCTTACTAATAGCACAAAAAGAAATGGAGAGGAGGTTGATGGCGAGAGAGAGAGATGAGGGAGATTAGATTGACGGCGAGAGAGGAAAAAGATGAGGTTCACGGCGAGAGAGAAGGGAGAGGAGAGGGAGGCGCCGTTTTAGAGAGAGAGATATATTTTATTTTTAACAAAATTAGGTTAAACTCTGCTTATATATAAATGTAAAGTCTCCGGTTCAGTTTAAAAAATTTCGGTTCTGACCTAATTAAAAAGAATGGTTGCTTTATTTTGAATAGCAGACTTCTTTTAACGTCTACCAATGAAGTCTGCTAATGAAGTCTACATTCAACCAGAAACCCTAAATCATATATTTCACTTTTGTTACCATAACCCTAAACATTAATTTTCTTAGCATTTCACATTTTAAATATAAAATAACAATGATATGGACCCTAAATCATTAACCAAATCATAAACTCTGATTCATATAGAATTTGGGTTTACCCTAACAATACCCTAAACTTTACACCTACCCTAACCCTTTTGAACTTGAAACCCTAACCCTTTTGAAATTCAAACCCTAACCCTTTTCAACCTTATACTTATGAAACTTATAAATTGGTTTATTTTCATGAAATTTTATTTAATATAGATGCCAATTGTCTATGTTTTCGTTATGTTTATAATATTTGTATCATAATATTTTTTATAATTTTAGTAAAAAAAAATTAAGATAATTATGTAGTAGACTTCTTTAGTAGACTTCTAAGGGGTTGTGTGTTTTCTAGTTAATTTTGCTTCTGCATTTAAATTGATTCATTTGTATGAAATTTGTATTTTATACATGTCAAATATATATGTCTTACTTATGTTTACTATTTTTTTATAAATTTATTTATTCTATATTTTCTAATCAATTTTTAAAAAACTAATTATATAGTAGACTTCTTTTGAAGTCTACTTATGTAGACTTCATTAATAGTCTACAAAAATAGACTTCTTTAGAAGTCTACGATTATGTAGACTTCACGAAGGATAAAATCGTAACTGTGACAGACGTTTTTTGTTTAGTCACAAAGGACTGAGTTGTAATTTCACTACCCCTTTGGGTTAGTTTTGCTAAACATTCAATAAGGGGTCTACATATTGAGAAAAAAATCAAATTTTAGGTTATAAAGAAGAATTCCTCCTTTAATTAAATGATGCAACTGAATTTACATCAATCAAAAAATGATATGAACAAAGAAAATAAATGATATAACACGCATGCTTTTTTGTAGTGAGAATAAACTATCTAATGATACTAATCAACAAATTAAACGGACTACAAAGTTTTGACAAAATTTGAACAGTTGGGGATACTTAGTATCAAGATTCCAAATCAGTATATTATGCTAGAGGTCTATTAATGTTTTTTGCAATCATTTTGAACTACTAATGTAATTATCAATATTATTGCAAATTTTGCATGTTACAACAAATCTTTGTGTAAGACATCAAAAAATAAAGAAACATTATTTTGAATGGATTATTTGTCAGAAAGTAAAAATGATATGAACAAAGAAAATAAATGATATAACACACATGATTTTTTGTAGTGAGAATAAACTATCTAATGATACTAATCAACAAATTAAACGGACTACAAAGTTTTGACAAAATTTGAACAGTTGGGGATACTTAGTATCAAGATTCCAAATCAGTATATTATGCTAGAGGTCTATTAATGTTTTTTGCAATCATTTTGAACTACTAATGTAATTATCAATATTATTGCAAATTTTGCATGTTACAACAAATCTTTGTGTAAGACATCAAAAAATAAAGAAACATTATTTTGAATGGATTATTTGTCAGAAAGTAAAAGTTCTTAACTATTGCAATGCATTATAATGTCATATTAGCTTTAACACTACACACATCAATGGATAAAATCAATCAGAAACCACATCTAATACATTATACTCTTTCTAATGTCATTTAAATAAGTAAAATATTACTTAATGTTTGTTAAAATTCATTAAATGTTTACTACCTTTTTTGTTATCAAAAACAAATACTTAATATTAGTTAAAGTTCTTCAGATGTTTAATTGTGAATATTAAACTAAAAATCATGTTATTGTAATCTCTTATAAACATTTTGAAATAATAAAAATTCTTTCATACACAACAATATATAAAATAAATATATAAATATTATTTATTTATCATGACTCGTGAATCATTCCTTAATACAAACATCTACAATAATAATAGTGTATTGGCAAATATATATGACGTGAAGCAATTCTTAGTAAGTATTTGAAACCACTAAACAGTTAATTTTCATTTGAAATATAACAAGTACAATACAGTATCCTATTTACATTGATTAATTATTTTCAAGGTAATTTTAGAGAAATATTTAAAACAAAATAAAAATTAATATATTACATGGATTGTCATTTACATACATCGTTGAGATACTCTCCTGATAGAGATGCTATATGTCATTAGTCTATCATCAGTTTGTTTTTGATGTCATAAGTGTGAATTTAGTTTGTCATTAACTTTCAGTAGAACTTTCTATAGTTGGATTTGTAAAATATTGTTACGTTGATCTATTTACAACATTTACTCTTACTAGGGTCTATATTTGTAACAATTTTTTTTTTTAATTTTAGGTCATCTTGGTTCATTTGCTCCATAATATATATATTACTAGAAGAGGTTTCCTCAGCTGAAAAATCTATACAGTTAAGACAATAATTATGTTCCCTAAACAATTGTGGTTGAGATATATCAATCAGACCCCTTAACACTCGTGATTTACATTGAATCAGATTGATATCTCATTAGATATTATGGTTTTTTACTCATACGTTCACTGTAAAAGATTGTGGCCAGCGTAGGTACCCAAGTGATTTCTACGATCGTATATGGGTTCCATACTTTCCGTCAGAATGGGAGAAAATTTTCACCACTCTCAAAGTGGAAAACGATAACGGTTATCTTGTGCCGCAAGATATCCTCATGGTTTACCAAGGATCTTGAGGTTTACCAAGGATCTTGACAGTGATTGCTATTAAAAACATCAAAGCCACCCAGGGATTGAGTAGATCGAGTATCATGGCAAGGAGATCCATGCGCCCTACAACAGTTTTTGTGGGACGGTCTAAGTTGCAACGACAAGAATCCGTCTGCGCCACCAAGAATCATTTCCTTGTGAGATCTCTATAACACAATTCACATTATATATATGACTTGTTAGAAAAAATTTTCTAACTACAACACTTGTTTTTTTGTTTTTCCTGTTTGGACTTATAAAAAGAAACTTGTCTTCAAGTGGGTTAACAGGAACCATAGCAACTGGAATTCAAAATCTTACCCATCTCCAAAAGTTGCAAGTATGGTCAATATTAATTAAATGGAAAGGAAAGAAAAAGACACTATAGATTCGGTAACTTTTTTCTTCTACAAACTACAGGAACTTGTCAAATAACAATTTGACAGGAGTAGTGTCTGAATTTCTAGCTAACATGAAATTGTTGCTACTCATGTAAGTTTCCTGACATGCTTTGGTGGGTTTTTCTCATGTATCAGTATCATTTTCATCTTTTTTTTTGGGTCGAAGTATCATGTTCATCTAAGTGCAAATAGTTCTCTAGTTTTTAACAGAGACTCGAGGAAGAACAATCTGAATAGTTCAATTCCAAAGACTCTACGTGATAGAGAAAAGAGATCAGGACTACAGTTATTGTAAGAAGGAAATCCATTCATACACATTTTCATTCAAGATCCTGTACCTTGTGGCACAAGGCTTGCACTTTCAGCATACTAAAGGACATATATTCTTTTTGCAGTGTTGATGATGATGATGATAAGAAGTGTTTATCAAGTTCATGTGTCCGAAAAAAGAAATTCCCAGTGATGATTGTTGCATTAGTTGCTTCTACGGCTGTGGTCATTGCAATAGTACTGCCTCTCATTCTTGTTTTTAGAAAGAAAAAGCGATCAAGTCCAGGTATTTGCAGAGATTCACCATTTAATCAACAAACTATATACTATAAGGTGTAATGGATATTGTTGTCTTACTAGACTTTTCTCTACATATATTTATTTCCCTTGGCTATATCAGAACAATTGATCGAGACAAAATGAAGAAGGTTTACATATTCAGAAGTTGTAGAATTGACAAAAAAACTTTCAAAAAGCTATCGGGAAAAGAGGCTTTGACCTCGTCTATCATGGTTATATAAATGATTCAGATCAAGTAGCGGTAAAAGTACTCTCACAATCATCATCACAGGGCTATAAACACTTCAAGACAGATGTATGATATGCTATAGATAATCCAAAATCGTAAAATGAAATTATCAGCTGTACATATTTTTCGCATCGTGTTTAACCAATGTGTTTTCTCATTGTTGGTATGTAGGTCGAACTTCTTCTAAGAGTTCACCATATAAATTTGGTGAGCCTTGTTAGATATCGCGACGAAAGAGATCACTTGGCTCTCATCTACGAATACATGCCTAATGGAGACATAAATATCATTTATCAGGTGAAGTGAAAGATTTATATATTATATGTATATATATCATTTTCTTGATTATCACAAAATGTAACTCATAAAATGGCTAGTTTTACCAATCTAATATAGGAAAATATGAGGGGCCTGTTTTAAAACGGTCTAACAGACTACGAATAGCTGTCAATGCTGTGTTAGGTTTGTTCTATAACTTTTTTTTTTTTTTAAAAGAGCCTTCGTATTAAAATGTAAAAGAAAAGAAAAAAACCATATAAGTCCAGTCAGATTAGAGTAATATGGGTTTAGTCTAGTACAGTAAGTTTTAGCAATATAGGGGTTAGATTTTCTGAAGCTTGAGATTTTGTTGCACACCAGATGGTCAACCATTTTCACAATTGTGTCCTCAATACGATAGATCTGCCAGTGAAGGCGATTGTTTCACTCCATCCAGATGAAATAGAGAACAGCTTGCCAACTAAAAAGAGCCAACTGTCTTCTGTTCTTTCCACCATATAGGTTGATCCATTACGAGGTGGAGCTAACCCAAGAGCGCTGAGGATTAATTTCCGTCCTGCAAGAGACATGAGTCGAGATGGACCAAGAGTAACTACATTCGAAGAAAATATGATCCTGACTTTCAGGGGCATAGTAGACAAAGCGGGTCTGTCTCAAGACCCCAACTCAGAATTCTATCTCGAGTTGGGCAGAGATCCAGCATAAACAGCCATGCCAAGAACCTATGTTTTGGGACACCTCCTTTGTTCCAGATGATACTATCCTAAGGGACAGGCTCTTGAAGCTGATTGTAAACGTCGCCAGTTAAATACGCTTTTTTCAGGATATCCTTAATAACCCACTCGTAAGTATCTTCCCCCTCTGATAATTGCACTGTTGTGAGATAAGTCTGAAGATTAACAAAGTTGACTGATCTTGCAGGGGGCTGAGCCCAATACCCATTGCGGCAGATGCTTGAAACAGTTGCATTTTGGGAGATACCGAGTCGAGATGGCCTGCATGGTGTAGCTAGAAACGATAGCAAGGAACGAAAAGGAGTCCAATTATCAGACCAGAACCGAATTATATTCCCGTCACGGACCCTTCTCTTCATCCAGGTGAACGCCACATCTCTAAGCTTAAGAAGCTTATTAGAAAACCACGAGAATTTTCGCTGTAAGTTATGTAGAGACCCTTCAAGAATCTCCTGCTTGAACCAAGCAACCCAGATCAACCTTGCTTGGAAGAAGAGAAGCCAGACGAGTTTAAGAGTGCATGCTTTATTCCAAATTGTAAGATCCCTGATACCCAAACCGCCTTCATTTTTTGGACGAGTCATTTGTGCCCTAGAAACTCTTGCTGAATGGTTACCCTCTAAACTCCCCTTCCACAAGAAGGCACTACAGATTAATTTTATCTTCTTTATGCAGGCTTTCGGGCATGACAAAAGTGGAACACCAGAAGTTAGAGATACCCGCAATAACTGTTTGAATAAGCTGAAGCCTACCAGCGAAGGACAGAGATTTGGCACTCCAGCAGGTAACTCTTTCTCTCACTTGATGTAGCAAAGTCTCACAGTTGAGGAGACTTAGCTTTTTGGTGCAAAGGAGTACACCCAAATAAATAACAGGCAGACTCCCATTAGGCATACCCGTGGAGAAGCTGATGGTGTCCTTCTTGTGCGTCGTAAGTCCCGAACAGAAGAAGATTGACTTTTGGACACTTACAGCTAGGCCAGAGCGAAGCTCAAACTCCCGAAGAAGTTGGAGAACACTTTGCAAGGAAGTCAGAGAGCCTTCTATGAAGATCAAGAGATAATCCGCAAAGCACATATGGTTAATTTTCGACTTCTCACACTTAGGATGATAATTAAACCATCCTTCCTCTGCTGCCTTGTTTAGCATATAAGAGAGATAATTCATAGCTATGACAAATAAATAGGGAGATAGTGGGTCACCTTGCCTTAAGATCTTTTTTTCTTTGAAGTACCCCTGAACAGTTCCGTTGTAGCCGATAGTAAAATGAGGAGTAGTAACGCAAGCTCTAAGCCAAGAGATGAATTGTTCCGGGAGAGATAGTCCTTCCAGACAGTTAAAAAGAAACTCCCAAGATAGGGTATCAAAGGCTTTGGGAAAGTCCACCTTCACTGTGATTCTCTTCGGCCATTTATATTTATGATAACCATTGACTAGTTCACCAGCTAGAACCGTCTTTTCAACAAGTAGCATGTCCTTAACAAACATTGTTTGGTTTGGCAGGATTAACGTGGGGAGCAAAGGCTTGATTCTATTGACCAGCAGGCGGGAGACAACTTTATAGACTGTGTTGAGACAAGCGATAGGCCTGTAGTCAGTTATACTAGATGCACTAGGGAACTTGGGAACAAGAGTCAAAATAGTCGAATTGGCAGAGGAGGGCAAAAACGACGAGATGAGAGGTCCCTAATAGAGCAGGTAACTTCTTCACATAGAGAACCCCAAGCAGCTTTGTAGAAGCCGGATGTAAAACCATCAGGACCCGGAGATTTAGTTGGGTTTAGTTTGAACATGACCCTAGTGATTTCCTCCGCTGTAGGCAATAAAGTTAAAGACACAGCTTGGGCATGGTAGCATTGGTAATGCAGCAGATCCGAGAACCAACTTGGGAGTGACTCCGTGATAGTAGGGCCATAGCAATCCGGGGCAATGATGGACTTAAAATGGTTTATAGCATGATCAAACTATTACTTAAAATATTAAATTATTAGCCAGAGGGTCGTTAATGATCAAATTATTAATTAAAATGAAGGATCGGACCGAATTATAGCTTGTCCGCACCTGAGCAACTTTGTGGAAGTAAGATGTATTCTGATCACCCAATCTGAGCCAGTCTATTAGTAATTTTTGCTTGAAGTACATTTCCTCAATTACCCGCAGGAAGTTCCACTTATCGTGGCAAGCACGCTCATCCAGATATAGCTGAGGAGAATGAGATTGGAGGGCATGAATCTGAATTACTTGTAGCTGATGGTAAGACTCTGAAACTCTCACTTGAATTTGAGAAAAATTATCCCTGTTGAGTTGTTTTAGAGCTCCTTTGATTAGTTTTTGCTTCCAACAGAGATTTGATAGAGTAAAACGTCTGAGTTCAAGTTGAGCCCAAGCATCAAACACCACTTGCAAGAAACTCAGATGCTTTGTTAAGTAATTGAAGAACTTGAAGGGACGAGTTCCCACCGTTGGCAAGGGTACTGCTAGATTAAGCATACAAGGAAAATGGTTAGAGATTAGAGGAGGCAAGAAAGCAGCTGGATTTTGAGGAAAGTTGGAGACAACCTGCATGTTCACAAGAACACTATCAAGCTTTTTCGCAATTGGGGAAGAAGGCCGACAGTTTGTCCAAGTGAAGAGCGGTCCTTGATAGTTCAAATCAAACAATCCCATCTGATTAAGGGAGTCTCTTAAGGCCATTATTTGTGAATCAAGGCTGTTTACAATAGGATCTGAATGCTCCACAGGGTGCACAATTTGGTTTAGATCTCCGCCAACCAACCACGGATACATATTAAGCTTGAGGTACTGAAAAGCATCCAATAATTTGATCCATATGTTCGATCTCTCTTCTGTTAAATTGGATGCATAAATTGCAGTATAGTAGAACTGATCCCCATAAGGTAGCTTAACTTCACAGGTAATGGACTGACGGGTGAGAAGCTTAATGGTAACGTCAATTGTATCCTTCCAAATAAGAATAATATGGCCATCCTCATCCGAGTTTTGATTAGAGGTAAAATTCCAACCCTGAAAAGTAGTAGACATGAAGTGGTTGAGGTTATGATCTTTAATGTATGATTTCAAAATGGCTCCAAAAAGAGGCTGGTCACTAGTCAGCCAATGCACAAAAGACTGTTGCTTTGCCGTGTCATTAAGACCCCGGACATTCCAAAAAAGGTTTTAGTACTCATAGGGAGGTTTTAATATGCTCCTTAGGTATATGAGGAGCATTATTCGAAGTAAACGTAGTAGACGGAAAGGCTGCAAATGTGAGAGGACAAATTAGTGTTAAGATGATCGGATTGGACCGGGACCTTTTTAACGATGGGGTATCCTTCTTTTCAGGGCTATAAGGATAAGGTTCTCCTGAAGGGGGTAATAGAGGCTGGGAAAGCCAGAACAAAAGACGCATCACCTTTGAAGATCCCCTCTAAAGACCGGGAAGTATAGCATTTTCGCCTCATTTGCACTTAGAATCAACATTGCACGCATTTAGCTTAGGGATGCATACATTTGCATACAAGTGCATGTTTGTTGTAATTTTCTGGTGTTTTTGGAGGTTCTTGGAGTTGGGAAGGAGATGGAAGCAGCTCATGTTCGAATGGGATGTCAAGAAGGAGCTTTTTCAAAGTCTGGTCCATATCGAGCAAGGATGTCGAGTAAAACCTCTGTGGAGTGTGCTCGATGTAAGGCGCAGGACGTGAGGAAGAGGATCAGTTTGGGGATTCTAAGCCTTTGGTCTGCATCGAGCAAGGAAGACGATACGTGCTGCACAAGCCATATCGAGGTTGTACATCGAGCAGAACACCGTCCGTACAACCTCGATGCAACTCATCCACGCGTTGACCACTTTTTATGTTTCTTTCTGTCACATACTATAAAAGGGAAGCCACAAAACAATGTCTTAATACTATCTTAGTCTTTCTATCAAAAACTTTCTCTTTTCATCTTATTCAGAAACCTTTAAGGGTGATTTGCTCTATAATCCTTTTCTTTAATAAAGTTTGCACTTTTATGGTTTAATCTTGTCTTTTGATCTTATTTCTAGCACCCTGGTAGTTTAGATTTCTTATATTTGCATTTTAATCTCATCTAATCAAGTTTAGCTCTAAACAAATGGGATTCAACATGATTAGTGAGTAGTTTACCTTAGAGTTAGGGGTTCTAAATAGGGAAAGTGGTGATTAAGATGTGATTAAGGGGTGATTAGGCTTGATTAGTTTGTTTTCTATTGTCTTCTTCTCTTGCAAAGTGATTATTGTTCATAAAGCTTTCTCTTTTTCATTGAATATGGTATTGATTGATGCATATGGTTCACTATATGGCTTGATATCTCATCTCTATGCATGGTTCGCTTATTTGGTTTGATAGTTTAGCTTAGGCTATGTTTCCTTTGTTCAGTGATACCAAAGTGATAGTTCACCATGCTAGATGATTCGCTTAGGGCTAGATAGTGTTGGTTTTGAGATTCTTGCTTGATGGTTAGATAGTATGCATTGAAAGATCTTGCATTTGTTTAATTACTCTTCATTGCTTAGCATTGTTAGGGTTTTGCAACTGTGTGCTTAAATCCATATTCTTGATTGGTGCTTAGCTAACTAGGTCCCTATATGGCTCACAAGATTGATAGATTGATCTGAATTCTTGTTTGAGTGAGAGAATGTTTGCTTGCTTAGTACTTCTCTTAGGCTAGAATGGTTCTGATCTATATGTTCATAGTTGAAGAATACGTCATCACAAGTGGGTTTGACACTTCAATCTTATTGAATATGAATTGCTTATTGATGCCAAGCTGATTCCTTTTGGATACCTTGTTTAGGAGTACAACATTTAGAAATGCTTGCTTATGAATGCTTGATGTTTACCTTTGCTGGAAATCCTCTTTGTCATTCTTGAAAGCCATTAATCCCACAATTGCTTAGAACCTTGATTCTTGCTTTTAATTAATTGTCTTAAGATCATCTTGCTTAGTATTGCTTATTTCTTATTTAGTTCTTGCTTAGTTATTGCTTTGAATTCATTGCTTAGTCTTTGTTTACATGCTTTTGATTTCTGTTTTCTTTTTATTGCATTGTTAGGTTGCTAGAATTACTTCTTTACATGCAAAATCCATAATCTCACTTAGCTTACAGCAGTGTTTGTATCTCAAGATCCACAAGTGTGTTTGACACCTAGGACCCTATAATACATCTGTTTTGGGCATTAGGAATACTTTGAAGTATAAACAAGGGCACCAAAAACCTTTGCTTCAATTGTCACCAGTGCAGCGAAAGCCTTCTGAGTTGCTTCCTTCGGGACTGATTCTTGTTGTGATCCAAAAAGCTCCAAAACCTCCAATTGTTCTCCAATCATGCTTTAACCTGCAAATACTCTAATAGGACTCTAAAAAAATCCAAAAAGACTCAATAAAAAGAACTTATATCATAGTAAAAAACCATAAAAACCATGATATATCGGTTGCTTGATAGGGCTCAGGTTTTACCCAAATAAAACTACTGCAAGTGCACAACAAAGCAGTTATAGTATAAGGGGTTATCAAATCTCAAGGGAGTAAGTAAACTACACTAGCAGTTATAGATTCACACTAGGCTAAGCAGTAGAATAAATGTAATGTAAAATAACTAAAACAATGAAAGCAGGCAATTATTGAATTATCTAAGATTCATGAAACTAAAAGCGCTAAGTCAGGTCAAATTGCTGGTTGAATCCAAGAGTGTAGAATGCATGCAATCAGGAATGAATTAAAACCGTCTTAAACATGAATCGCAAAGGTATAACTAATCTATTCTCATTGCAAAAGTTATCTATGTCTAAATCACAAAGTTTCAAATCTCTTTGCAAACTCTAACAACCTAAACATGCAGTAATGATCAGGTTCAATTGTTCACAAAAATCCTAAGTCAAATCTCTTTGCAAATAAGCGTTTTTCTCATCTAATACTAGTTCAGGTGATAAACAATGTTCTCACATCTATTAAACAACCTAGGGTTTCGAAATCCAAATGATGTGTCTAAGAAATCGGTTTGAATGCAAGCACAAATGAAGAACCAAAAGATATTCCTAACAGATTAGCGATTCTACAAACTCTTCATCAACCTTTGAAAAGCCCTAACTTAAATAACAGATTACTCAGACATGATCATGAAGACACAAAACATAGCTGAATAAAACTGCATTAAAAGAATAGAATAAAATATAAAGGGGTTCGAAATCTTCTCCAAAAGAGTACAGGATCTCTCTACCCAAAAGCTCTGAATAAAACTCTCTCTTAAGCTCTCTGAATTCTAAAATCTAAGATACTAGATAAAAGCCAACAATGGCTGGAAATATAATATATACAGACCAAAACACTAGTTGTGGTCTTCTTGTAAATACTAGAACTTGTGGGCCAAAACTGTAATATCTTCTCCATCTTTAAAAATAAGTCACGATTTTCATCAGATGAGGGTGACAAGCGTCATCCATAAGTGGTGACGATCGTCACTCAGTGCAGAACAACGTTTCTGAGATGTTAACTTCGGGGATGGTTCTTGCAATGCTCTAAAAAGCTCCAAAACCTCCAATTATGCTCCAGTCATGCTATAACCTGCAAATACTCTACGAAGACTCTAAAGAGACCAAAAAACTCAATAAAAAGGACTTATACCATGATAAAAACTATAAAAACTATGATATATCATTGCTCGATTAGAAATAGTTAGGCTATTGATTTCATTAGCAGCCTAAAATAAGTGGAGGATACATCAAATGGATGTCAGATCAGCCTTCTTAAATGGAGATCTTGAAGAAGAAATTTACATTGAGCAACCACAATGCTACATAGTCAAAGGTGAAGAAGATAAAGTCTTAAAGTTAAAGAAGGTGCTTTATGGGTTGAAACAAGCACCAAGAGCTTGGAATACTCAAATTGATAAGTATTTCAAGGAGTCAATCTTCATGAGCATGCACTGTATATCAAAACACAGAACATTGATATATTGATTGCATGGTTGTATGTAAATGACTTAATATTCAAAGGCAACAATTTAAGTATGTTCGAGAAATTCAAGAAGAAGATGACGAAGAATTTCGAGATGAATGATATTGGATTAATGCCTTACTACCTTGGAATTTCAGTGAAACTAAAAGACAATTGAATATTCATTACTCAAGAAGGTTATGTTAAAGAAGTGTTGAAGAAGTTAAATATGGATTACTCGAATCCAGTTTGTACTCCAATGAAATATGGAGCCAAGCTATCAAAGCAAGAAGAAGGAGAGAGTGTGGATCTAACACTCTTTAAGAGTTTGGTTGGAAGCCTACGTTACATAACGTGTACAAGGTTTGACATACTATGCAGTTGGATTGTGAGCCAACATATGGAGCATCCGACAATCACTTATTTCAAGGCAGCTAAGAGGATCATTTTCTATATCAAAGGTACCATACAATTTGGCTTATATTAATCTGTTTATAATGAATACAAGCTTGTTGGATATAACGACGAATGGGGTGGAGACGTAGATGATCGGAAAAGCACAAATGGTTTTGTGTTTTTCATTGGAGAAACAATATTCTGTATGTCAAAGAAGCAACTGATTTTCACCCTGGAGTATGTAGCGGCTACTTCATGTGTTTGCTATGCTATTTGGTTATGAAACTTATTAAAAGAGTTGAGTTTGCCACAAGAGGAGCCGGTGAAGATCTTTGTGGAAAACAAGTCAGCAATAGCTTTGGGAAAGAATTTTGGCTTTCATAATCAAAGTAAGCACATCGACATTCAGTATCATTACATTAGAGAATGTGTCACCAAGATGAATGTATAGTTGGAGCACGTATAGAAAAATGATCAAGTAGCTGATATCTTTACCAAGCCACTCAAGCGCAAGCCTTTATCAAAATGAAAATTTTACTTGGAGTAGCTAAATCAAGTTTAAGAAGAGGTGTTTAAAGGCAAACTTGATTTTGGATTAAGTTTACATAATGGATTATAGATCTAATAATAATTATGCCAAACCCAATTATACTTAATCCAAATTCTAGAGTTTTTTATAGAAAAAATCAAT